ATGCAGTGAAAACCAAGAAAAAGCCCGTCACAAGCAGTTAAGAAAATAAACACCGCCTAACCTAAAACTAGGCGGTTGTCTAAGCAAAAAATCTAAGTGTGTGTATTAAAGCTGTGAGGATTTGATATGCCCTAGGTTAATTATTAACTTTAAATTTTCTAATATGCATTAAATTTTAATTTAAAAAGATTCACTAATCCTAAGATGCAGGTGTCAACTAAATTTTCTATTGTTATAGTTTTCTATCCTGAAGTGCATGCATCATTAAGTCTAAGTTTTCTAAGACTGAGTCCTTAATTTTGTCCTTAAAATGTCACTACTGTTGGGTAATAGGTGAAATCTTTTATTACTAAACCATTAGGACTTTTCGTACGTAGAAATAGGGTTTAGGATCTACGATAAAATAAAAAAAAAAATCTAATAAAATTTAAGTTTACTTACAAGACTAAAAGGGAAAGGTAAACCAAACTACATTAAGGGGCCCTAAAGGTTTCTAAGTTTAGAATACTCCAATCACCGGGGGCTACGACCCGGGTTCCGCCGTAGCACCTTACCGGTGGATAGAGACGACGACGGCATTAGCTCCTTGTCTTTTGTTTCCACGCCGGCGTACAATATCCTCGCAGTTCATGCAAATAAACAGAGAAACAGGAAACAACAGGAAGAAAGGAAATAGTAGGTTAGAAAGCACTTTTAGATAAATAATAATGAAAATAATTAAAATTTACGAAAAAAAGACGTACCTTTTCTCGGCGCTGAAACACGCAGATTCTGTGCTTTCCTTTGAAAACCCTTTACTTTTGACATATTGTATTTTATATTCTTCCAATACTCTTCCAAGACACAAGAAAGTGGGAACGTAAGAAAGGAGAGAGATGTATAAGAAAAAGAGAACTTTGCTTTCTCAATACTTTCACTTCTAATAACATTTAGCTATACTTTCTGCTAATATCATAATAACTTTCCTTTCCAATAACTCACACACTTCATCCCTTAAAACAATACACCTTTCACTTTCCAAGATCACACAATTCACATTAAAGTGCAACACGAATCACTTTTCAAACATATCACCACACTTTTTGAAGAAATACATATATACACTTTACTTTTAATACAATTTTACTTTTATAGAACACATAATTTCACATTTCTTACACAAAAACCTCTCTAACAGTATACTTCTAATCTTTCAACCTTTACGACATTTAATGCTTGTTAAAATCCATACTCATTTCTAGTATACAATTTTTCAAATATCTCACTTTCCAAATACAGTTATACCTTTTCAAAAACACACTTTACTTTTCGCACAATAAAAATTTTTCCCCCTCCAAACATATAAATGTTCACATTTACACATATCAACTTTTAACATATACCAAATTTTTCACTCTTCAACAGCCCACCTGCTTTTTCTAATGAAATATTAAATCAATGTTCATCCTTTCTCTTCCCAATCACAACACAAAACAATGCAGAATACCTTAGGAAAAATTCTTTCCTCATAAAGAAACTCATATGATTTCTTATATTTTATATGAAAGCAGATTGAATAATAAATCTTTATTTTACTTCATTTTCTCCATCAAATGAGCATTCAAACCACAAATTCTGAGGAAAAAGTTTAAGGACTTTTTACATTCATATTTCATCCAACAATTCAAGAGACCTTCCAATATTAGTAAAAACAACAATTTGCATTGAATTTGTGTTTTCTACAATAAACACGTAAAGGCACATGACTCTTTTCCAACATTTTCGAATTAATTTAGGGAACAAAAATCATATAAAACTATATTTGGCTTCCAATTATAGTATTATGAGCACTAAAATACTGAAATAATTTCAAGATGAAGATCATTAGATGGATCCATATTAAACAATGGAAAAGACTAGCAATCTTTAAAGGCTCAACTTATCATATATCACCATTAAACAAACAAGTTGAACTTACAGATGCTAGAGAGGTAATAAAACATAAAATTTTCAGGATCTGCATTGGGCGGCAAAGGTTATATGTGATGTTCTAAATTTTAACTTTGGATAAAATATGGCAATGACAGTTTTAGAAAACAATTTAAGTGCTAAAACATTGGATCAAAAATTATATTTATTCTATCTTAACATTGAACTATAAAGACTACCAATCTCTACAGGTTATATTATATATATATATATATATATATATATATATATATATATATATATATATATATATATAATATATTATATATATATATTATATTCTCACGAAATTATATGTTTAATGAAGATGATTCAGTCTAAATGAGATTACATTGGCCTTCATCCAGTCGTTTCATACTCCATGAGAGACTATGCAGAGTATAAAAAATTAAAAGAAACGATTACCTCTACCGAAAGGGGAAAAGTTGGAGTTAGCTAGGGCATGCAATGACGTTGGGCTTCCCTGGGGTCCGATTCCTGGGCTTCCTTGGGGTCTGATTCCTGGGCTTCATGCGGGCAGAGAAAAACGATCGAAGTGGCTCTGTGCGGCGTCGGGAGAAGGAATCGGAGCAAGGCTTGCGACCAGGGAGGAGCGACGGGTTGAGGGTATTTCACGAACTGTAGTGGAAGCCACGACTTGAGGGTTGGCTGTTCGTGCGAATAGAGGGCTCCTTGCGAACGAACCGAGAAAGGGAGCGGGGTTCTTGTTCGGCTAGGACTGGCGACGACTTCGCTTGGGCCAGACGAATGGAAGCCTGGGAGTTGCTCACACGATCCAGAGAGGGAGTTTCATTCTCTGTGTGTATGTGAAAGAGCTCTTGCCTTGACTTCTTGCGAACTAAGAGAGGCGAGCTGTGCGTATGAGGTCACGGGAGGAGGAGTCCGGTTATGTATGAGCGAATGGATGGGCTGCTCATGCGAACTGCAGTCAGAACAGTTGTGCGTGTGGGAGGCAGTTTTGCGAACTGCAGAGAAGATCGTGGAGGGGTCTCGTGCGGCTTTTGTGCGAATGAGAGATAGACAGAGAGGGGGATTCCGGACTGAGGATATCTCGCCTGGGATTGAGGCCTTCGGCCCTCTTGCGAACAGAGAGGAGAAGGGAGTTCGTGTGAACTGCAGGTGTCGGGCTATGTGTGAGAACGTGAGAGTACCGAATGGGGGGAGAGAGCGAGTAGTTTCTGGGGCCTCTCATGCGATCGGGAGGGGGAGTTCTGGGTAGGCGACGTGGGGAGTTCTGTGAACTGTTGGGAGACAGAGGGGCTATTTTGCAAAATTTAAGAGGAGAGGGTGACGTGCAGTTCACGAACTGATGGGAAGTTCATTGGTCTTGGGTTGGAGATTGGGGCTTCTCATATGATTCAGAGAGGGAACTTATGGGGAGTTCGGAACTGCTGGGTAGTTTAGACCGGCCAAGCAAATCCAAAATCACCTCTTAATTCAAATCAAATAGTTAAGATTAATTCATGCTTTAAAAAGGGATTTAAATGGCTGATTTCATTAAAACAAAGTTGAATTGATTAGATTTTATTAGAAGTGGATTTGAGTTTAATTAGTATTGTATTTCATGAATTTAATCTTTATTAATTTTGAATGGCTTTGATTTGATTTGGGTCGAGTCAATGCTATATCCGTGGGTATCCACCTAAAGGAGGTCCTACAGGTGACGTCTATACTAGTCTATGAATACCTAGGTGCTAGAATTGAGTCCGGGGAAATTGACCTCGAAAAATGAGGTAAACACGGCCCTTGCCGACTCCTTCATTGATGTTTGACTTTGCTCCTTGGATGACGTTCTCTTCTTGTTGGATCGGAAGTTACAACATTTTAATCGGAAGCAGCAACGGGTGTTCGCCAGCTGTGAACTCGCGGCCCATGCTAGCTCCTTCGTTGTTGTTCGACTTTGCTCATTGGACGACATTCTCTTCCTGTCGGATAAGATGTTACAACATTTTGATCTGAAGCAGCGGCGGGAGTTCTCTTGCTGTGAACTCGCGGCGCTCGCCGGCTCCTTCGTTGATATTTGACTTTGCTCCTAAGCTCCGTGGACGACGTTCCCTTTCCGTCGGATCAGAAGTTTAAATTTTGATTTAAAGCAAAAAAACGAGCCAACAACGGCATGCAAAGGAATGACGAGTTTTACCGGGTCTTTCCTGGGTTTCCGGGTCAATCCGAACCCGACCCGGTTTTGCAAACGGATCGATTTTCCGGACCTAAACTCAATCCGGTTCAGAATTAGGTCATACCAAACCAGAAATTTTTGGATCGGATCATGCCAATATTGGAGAAATTATTGTGTACGCAATCCGAACATAGAGAAAGGTCTGGATTGCTACATATTTACTGTGTATTTGCTACGTATTTTTTGATACACAACAAATAAGAGGCAAATAAGCGACAAATAAGTAGCAAATTAATAATATTCACTAAATAATCACTAAATACACAATAAAAACACAAAAAAATATATATAGAAAATACGCAGTACATCATTAGTAAATATTTTCTACATATTTAGTTAGTATTTTTCGAGTTTTTATTGTTTATTTAGTAAGTATTTAGTGAGTATTATTAATATACCATTTTTTTACAGCTTATTTGCTGTGTATCAACAAATATATAACAAATACACAATAATTTTTCTCAATATTGACAGCCTAACTGCAAACAACTCGTACTTAGGGCCTAATAAATATGATGGTCGAGGCCATCGTGATTCATGCTTTAATTTTCTTTTTAACTTTAGAAACTTTTAATAAAACCACTAATCAAACGCCACGACGTTCCCACGGCGTTTTTCTTTATATATATGTACGAAGGAGAAGCGTAGTTTTTGGTGAAAATCCCGAGTATCGCGCAACAGATATAATTTTCCCGACAGACGCGGGATAAACTTATTGCCGGAAGCGTAGCTTTTTCTTGATAGGTTTCGGAAGGTAATTTGATTTGGAAGGTGACAGGAATATTTCTCTCCCAAATCAAACCACCCCTCAAGGCCGTAATTTCTATAATCATTCGGCTTTTTTATGTTTCTCGCATGGTCGGTTCCCACTGTCACAGAAGACAGAAGGAACAAAGAAATGGGTCCACCATTCCGCGGAAGTTCTATAACTTTTAAATTTCGCCTGGGTGGCTCCGAGCCGTGAAAAGATTGAAATATAACCGTCGCGCCACCATTTGCGAGCTCTCAACGGAATACTGTTTGATCAGCAGCGTTGGCCGAAATTCCACCGTTATTCGTAGGATTTCGGCTGGAGATTAACGGGGAATCGGGAATGAAACATGGAAAATACGAGCTCGGACGGACTCTGGGAGAAGGGAATTTCGGGAAAGTGAAATTTGCTAGGAGGGTCGACAATGGCGAAGCATTCGCTGTCAAGATCCTCGATCGAAAGCGGATCCTCGATCTCAAAATCGACGAACAGGTAAGCATTTACGGGCTTCTCTTGTATGTTTTTTCTTCCCATCCTTTGTTGGTTCTAGCAAGAAATTTTAGGGCCAATATGGATTGGGGAATGCATTGATCTTTATTTATTTATTAACGGTTTCAGATAAAGAGGGAAATCGCGACGCTGAAGCTTTTGAAGCACCCTAACGTCGTTCGACTCGTTGAAGTACTTTCCCCCGTTCTCGATTCGCTTGTTTTTCATCACTTCCGATTTCCTTGTTTCTCTTTGGATTGTTTATTTTATTGACAAATGTATTTTTTCACTCCTTTCTATCGTGACGCTGAAGCTTTTGAAGCACCCTAATCGGGGCGGGGATTACCTTGCTATCTGCTAAGGTAAACTGCATAGAACAAATGCAGTTGTAGCAGAGATTTGAAAAAAATTTTAATTTGGATATGCTACTTAAAATATAGGAATATGAAATATTCAGGTTCAACTTATCATAGATCATTCTCAGGAGAGGGCGAGATTTCTCGGCCCAAACAATTTTTTTGCACTTAATCGGAGAAATTGAGGTGCTATTACGCTTGTTTCGGTCTATTAGGTTCCGAGTTCAAAAAGTCAGTGAATGGATAGAAATTGTCTTAGACAATTTGTCACCGTTTACTCTCCCCTGTTCTATCTCTATCTCATTTAGTGCTAGTTCATTTAAATATTTTCTTGGCCATGAATTTCACATCATTGCATTTTTGTTCTTAATATCAAAAATTTTTTAAGGTTAAACAGTTCCCACATAAAATTTTGTAATAAGAACGGAAATAAATTTTAAACATAAACATGACGTGTAAATAGGTTACGGGGATGTAACGTAAACATTGCTTGTCAACATTGCTTAATTTCTTCATTGTGTTGGATTGTAGATGATTGACTAAGATTTTAAAATAGAATTTGTACAAATGAAAATTTTGATTATTGGGTCCCATTGGCGAGTTTTGTCCAATAAAATACTGCCATTTGGTGTAAGCACAATTGCTAGACCAGCTGCCGAAGCCAACTTCTGTTATGCACTTCGTGATCGCCTCCTTTTCGGCTATCTTCTTACATTTTAATGCAAACAAATTATACATGAATTTTTTTTTTCCCCTTCCGTAAGTCATCCAAAATTTTATAAATTAGGTTCGAAAACCTTAGCTACATATAGGCTTCGTTAGAGATGACTTTGTTATTGCCTTTTAAAGCAACTTTTTTATATAAATTTTAAAAATTTAATGCTGAAAAGCTTCTTTAAGATGTAATAAAAAAATCATCACAAATGAAATCATAATTTACAAAACTTCACTTTTACGTAATAGTTTTGTTTGAAGCCATTAGTCTTTTTTCCTCTCATTGTCATATATTGCTATTATGCATTCCTTGCCACTCCAGAAAGCCATGATTTTCATTACTAAAATTATCAGCCTTTGTTACGACATATTGTCTTCTTATACAAAAACTTTTTTCTTGTATGTTTGCTATGGACCATAATTTTTTTTTCTTTTTGTCCTAATAATGGCAGGTCTCTGCAAGCAAAACCAGAATCTATATGGTACTTGAATACGTCAATGGTGGCGAGTTATTTGATAAAATAGTAATAATGTTTAACTTTCTTTTTTATTTCCAATAATTTAGTTGTACTTTATGCTTAATTGTCATGTGTAGCAAATTGTCATTAATAATGAAGTATGTATTTTCTTGTTGGCATATTTTGAAGGCAACAAAAGGAGCGCTATCAGAGCAGGTTGGCCGTAAGCTTTTTCAGCAATTGATTGATGCAATAAGCTACTGTCATGATAGGGGAGTTTATCATAGAGACTTAAAGGTAGTGATCAGCATTTCTGGAGCATAACCTTACCTTATGAACTATCCGATCCATTAGGTTGGCATGTTTGGAAGTTTTTGCAATTGAGAAACTTACTGCATGTATGGATTCTAGGACAAACAAAGCATAAGCAGTTGAAGACTTGAAGCGTTTACATTGAACTAAATTTATCGATTATCCTAAGATTCACCAGTAGTTGTTCAACCCTCTGTTAGTTATTTAATTTAAACGAGTTCCGTTGTTTATAGCTACTAATGATCTGAATCATTGATGATTAAACAAATTGTTTTTATCACAAAATTGTGAATCAAATGGATAAAGATTATCAGCAGCTTACGACAGCTATTAGATTATTATTCGCATTAACTTTTGTTTGAAAAGTCTCCATTTGAAGTCAATTTTTCTATTATTGGTATTTTTTTGTCCGTCATTCTTATTTTTTTCTCCAATGTCTTGTTGCAGCCTGAAAACGTTCTTATTGATGCAAATGGAAAAATTAAGATTTCTGACTTTGGACTTAGTGCTTTATCCCAACATCTTGGGGTATGTGGTATAAGAAATCATGTCAGCTACTATTTAACATGATTATGGTTAAATATTTATTGTTTTCATTTCCGTTATTAGAATGATGGGCTGTTGCACACGACTTGTGGAAGTCCGAATTACATTGCTCCTGAGGTGACATTTTCAAATTTTGTCTACCACGGTACAGATTTGATTGGGATCCTTATTGAAAATTAAGCTGAAATACCTTTTTTGGCATTTTCATTAGGTCATTGCCAACAGAGGTTATGATGGTGCCTTGTCAGATATCTGGTCTTGTGGTGTAATCCTTTATATTATTCTTATCGGAGAGCTTCCATTTGATGACCGGAATCTTGCAGTTCTTTATCAAAAGGTTTTGCTAAAGATATTTGAAGGCTTATGTGAATTGTTAAGCTCTTAAATAGTAAAAACTGCTACCAGTACAGCAGACCCTGCTAGTTAATGTTCTAAATAGTAAAACTGCAACTAGTACAGCAGACCCTGCTAGTTAATGTTTCATGTTGGTGAATGCTTTTTGATGCCAAACTCGAGTTGTCCGTTAAATAAAACAACGTTATTTATTGCAGATTATTAAGGGAGATACCCAGATCCCCAAATGCCTTTCCCAGGGTGCTCAAAATATGCTGAGGAGGATTCTAGATCCGAATCCTAGATCTCGGATAAATGTTTCTCAAATAAAGGAAGATGTTTGGTTTAAGCAAGATTATACTCCGACTGTTCCTTATGATGATGACTCATACCCAGATGATGAATCCCTCTCACTAAAAGTGGTAATTGCTGTATGATTTAAACTGTTATGTATCATTGAAGCAGTTATATCTAAACCTAAAACTACTGCAAACTATTTCAGTCCAATGAGGCAGATGAGCATAGAAGCATACCTACTCAAATCAATGCGTTTGAGCTCATAGGAATGTCTTCGTGTCTTGATCTTTCAGGCTTTTTCGAGAAAGAGGTAAGGCCCAAATTACAAGCTTATCCTACTTTAGTATTTCCAATTGTGCCCATCGTATTGACAAAATATGGACATATGAAGGTGGCTTCAAGAAAAATGCTAAAATGTGGATTTCCAAACATACATTGCTAAAATTACAACAGTTAACTTTTACATTGACAATAACAGGACGTCTCTGAAAGGAAAATCAGATTCACATCAAACTATTCCCCCAAAACATTGTTTGAGAAGATCGATGAAATTATTACTGAAATGGGTTTCCAAGTTCAAAGTGGAAACCGAAAGGTTCGTATTATTTCTTTAGGAACTTAGACCGTTCATGAACTATGAAAAAATTTATGGCCTAGTTATATATCTGACAAAAATATCCAGTAGCTGCGATAATCAACTTTATCAAATTATTTTTTAGGCATTGTACAACATTTGTTTCCACACTAGTTTTTTTTTTTTCTTTTTATATCCGATACATTGCTCTAGTTAATAAACATGGCATGGTGAAGTTGCATACATTTATGTACTACCTGCTGTTGCAGATCATGCGGCAAACTAGAGTGTTTACCACCTCAAGGAGCCCATGTTCTGTTTCTGTAGCTGCTGAGGTGAGTTCTTTATAAAAGCACATAGTGCAAAAACTTATCATCTTCTCCTAAATAGCATTATGTTCCTATTCAGGTATTTGAGCTCAGCAAATCCCTTTACGTTGTGGAACTACGGAAAGCATACGGGGATTCTACTTTGTATAGAAAGGCAAGTTCTCGTTGCAATGATTTTGAATTTTGATTTTCTATCTATGTTAATTATTCATTCAAGTTGTTTGTACAGGATATTCTCATATTTCATAAGATAATAATAATAATAATTATAATAATGATAATGTTAAATGATAAAGAAGGGTATGCTAATATAAAGTTGTACTGATTTGATAAGTCATCTGCCGCTTATGTTTGCAGTTATGCTCAAAGATAACAGATGAGTTAGGTCTCTATAAAAGCGAACCACTTTCGAAGACTCCATCACTGCTGTCATAGTTCAATCAATATAAAGGAAATAGGTCTCTCAGTGCTGTGTAAATATTTAGTCGGTACCGTCCAGGTTGCAGGATTAAGAATAATAATTCTTTATGCTCTTAGTTATTAGTTTAGATTTGTTACAATTGTAAATTATTTGCATATCTTACAAAAGGGTGCTGTATTTATAATATAGAAAATAAAAGTTCAATGTAAAAAATTTCGGTTCTGTTTAATAGAAGTGCGCATTTCTTTCTCTTCTACTGATATTTTCTTTGTAACGTTAATCAGAAGTAAAATATCGTGTTGGATTCCAATCAAAAACAGATGCTTTGAAGTTTGGATGAATGCAGTTTGACACACTCCTTCAAAACCTTTTTTTTTTTTTAAATTTTCTTTTACTGCAATTCAGAATTTGGTGGTGGCTTGGCTGGGGAAATCAAGGATTTTGATTCATAATTTTCCAATATGAATTAACTTCCAATGCTTGTCACAATTATGCCATGTTCCGTCACATTGATAGTGAACGCCAAGTGGGGGACAGCGTTATTATTGTTCATGGTTCGATTAAGCCACACATGCTGACACTGCGTTTCTGTTGATTTGTGAATAGCACTTCAATTTTCGTTTATAATGCTCCCAGACATAAGGAAAAAAAAGCATAAATGACTAAAGCATCCACAAACTAGACAATTCTTGCAGCCCACAACCAGCATTCTAGAGTCACCCGCCTAGTATATGTCTATGGTCAATTGCTTCACTCTAATTTGCTAGTAGGAGCAGCCAATATATTTTCTTGCCAAATTCGCATTTAGGAGCAGTCAATATATTTGTTCCCTGTCGAAATCGCTTTCTTTATTAGCAACTAAATATTTTTTAAATATATATAATACATTAGAAGCTTGATGCGTTGTAGAAATTTACAATTACGGGATTGCATTTCTCTGGAATATGATTATTGGAAATAGACTTCATTTACGAATGCTTTTCCGTAGCTTCATTTTCTAAAAGATAAAAGATCTTATAGCTTATTGATCATAGGCAATATGATTGCAATGCAGTCTCTCTCTCTCTCTCTCTCTCTCTCTCTCTCTCTCTCTCTCTCTCTCTCTCTCTCTCTCTCAATCTTAATAACTTTATTCCTTAAATTGTAAGAGATTTTGTGCCCCTATAAAAGACTTTGACCTTAATAAGTTAATATAGTTTAATAGTACTTACTGGTTTATATCCATACAGCCCTATGTTGATAGCACACAAGTATTTAAATAAGTTTATGTAAAAAAAAAAAAAAAGTTTATGTTAAAGAGAATGACTATGGGGATCATGTAGCTAAAGTGGCACTCACATGAAGGAATCACAGCCCTACATAGCAGGTTTCACTTTTCTCTTTTTTATGGAAGATTGATCTTTTAAGAAGTTTAATTGATACATTTCCCCTTGAAGATTAGAGGCTTTACTCAATAATTTCTTAAAGGTTTTAACCCTTTTAATGAAAAAACAATTAGACCATGGATATTCTTTAAAACAATCTCTATAGAATGTTGCTCCTAGAGTTAAGGTTCACATTTCATGCTAATATTTTTCCATCTTAAGATATACTCAACTAGTCTTTCATATGTTTTCTACTTTTCTACTACCAAATCTCCTACTGTGACATGGTGACGTGCTCTAGTAATATCAACATTTGCTCAAATTTTGTGAAGGTGTGTATTGACCCATTGGGTATTTCAGTGTACCATTCAAAGGCTATACTAAACAGACTACTTACAAATTGTCTAAATAGTAAAGCATCACTACCTCCTACATTTCAACAACTAGGCCTAAAATGTGCTAAGGGTTTCTTTGAATTTTTGGTTATATTAAAGTTTTTGAATGAGAGTGGCATGAATCCTTTGGAATAAGGAACTAAATCTTATTCATTTGAATAGGGTTTACCCCTTAGAATAGACGAAATACTCTTAGACTAAGCTAGATCCTCTTTAACTTATTATTCTATTATTTGTTTAATGTCTACTATTTGAACTATTTCCTTCTCAGATTTTACAACCTCAATTTTATTTTCTTTCACTGCCTCTTTAAGGTTACTGCAATATTACACACTTTATGTTGGAATTAATCTATTTGAGCTTTAGCAAAAGGGGCTTCATTATTTTGCAGAGTGGGTGTAACATGCCATTTACTCTTCCATTTTCTTTTCCAATTTACCTATTTGCTCACCTTTTTGACTTAGTTAATCTAAAAGACTGCTAGTCAAACTGGGTTTATAATCTTCATCTTCTTCCTCTTCTTCAATATTCGAAGAACTTATTTTTGCTTTCTTCTTCTCTTTCTGAATAGTCGATCGAGTATCCAACTTGAATATACTTTTAGTCATCTCTTCATTTAAGCAATTCAAAGATGTTATCTCATCATCTTCTTCAAATATCTTCTTTATATTTTCCTTTAGATGATTTATCATATCTTCAATATATTTCCTCGACTTATTGTGTGGTTGAACTAGGATACACTCTTTAGAAGAAGGCTCTATGTGGGCTCCAAAAATTCATCCTTGGCATCCACATTGCTTTTCGGGGGAGTTTTAATGGATTAAGTTACAGGGTAAATTTTTAGAAGGTATATTAGGATTGTAGATAAAACACACCCAGAGATTTCGCCCTCATTTTGCGAGGAGTTTATGATCTGAGTTATGGTTTCCTATAGGCGCAAGCCCCTATAGTTAATTACCCCTCCCGATCATAAGAGGGAACTTTAGATTAAGGCTTGTCGTAGATACACGGTATCCGACATATAGTAGCAACATGGGTTTGGATATTTAAAAAGTTTTATATTTAACATTGAAATTTCACCATATTGCACTTAATGAGGATGGTGGGTGGAGTTATATTGAGCATGATCAAGATCCCATGGTTTCATCGTCCCGGGCCATTGTGGTCCCTGGTCTATTTAGTCAAAGGAGGTAGTCAACCTAACCTGATAGAAAGATCCATGTCAGTAGCCATGGGTAGTGTCATCCAAGGGTACCTTGTAGACCTAGCATGGATGTTTGTCTAAGGGGACAAATTTAAATTCACCTTAGCTGATAGAGGGCTTTGTGCCCTATAGATTAAATCCTATTGATTCATTGCTCAACAATTTAATGCCATTTGGGGAACATACTTGCGTTGACCATGACCATAATATAGTTGTGCCATTTCGTTGCAAATCACCCGGTTTAGAGGGTCTCGATCATAACTGTTTACCTGTAGTGCCACTTGATGACAAAACCATAGGTGTGGTGATATTTGACGGTGAAACCACCGATTAAAGGATAAGTACCACGTCCTTACTAGCAAAAGATTGATTGAGAATGGATCTTAGTGATATTCTCGACTAGATGTTAGCTCTTTGTGAGTTGAAGTAGTTTCCAGATTTGTCCACCTCGGCAAACTGTTGTGCAGAGTGGATTTGTATTTGTATTAAGTATTTGATAACTTAATTTTAATTATAAATATGTTAAATTTTGGTATTTTCAAATTTTTGAATTTTATGTGCTTTTGAGGGCATTTTGAAATATTTGATCACATCCGGTTGAGATTTATATTCAACACGACCATGATCAGGGAGTTAATGGGCAATTATATATTGAGTAGACCTTGTCGACTCTATCTACTGGTTGACAAAGGATCGGGTCCATACGCTGTATGTTTTTTTTGATGAATTTCTTTTGTTATAGACCTTTAAGGCCTTATATTAACGTATAAAATAGATATTCTAGTCGACACTTTGGCCGTATAAATATTTAATAATATGAGCTATGCGGACTCTATCTATCCATATAGAGGGATCGAGCTCAAATTGTGGTTCATTTATTAACTTGCACAACATCCCTAAACATTACGTGTATACCCATAACACACTCGCCGGGGCCCATATATACATATAATTGCATGTGTATTTTTATGTATATGTGTATACAAATTATAGTGCATATTGTGGGGGCATTCTAAAATATTTACATGCGGTCTAGATGGGTGTTCAGCTGCATAAGTGACTATTGTTGCTGAATGCACATGGCTTTATTTTAGGATTTATTGACACCTTCTATCTACTTATACGAAGATTGCAGATCTGATGGCATGCCATCGTGCTCAAGTAGCCCGTGAATTTTACTATTGATTCTCTGCTTTTGTTTATAGGTGAATCATTTTGTTGTCGCTCAACTGCCACTAGGTACTTTGTTGTTCTAATGTAGACTCCCTTTTCTCATTAATCGAGAGATTAGATCTGCAAATCAATGCCTTTGTTTGGATTAGATAAACACATTTAAATGACACGAGGTTGTTTTGTGATAGATGATGTATCACAAGCTGCTAAGACCAAAGGCTCAGTTTGTCCATCATTATATTACTTTGTCCTTGATTCACAATGAAGGTGAGGCATTGAGTTGAGGGACATGATATTTGGGTCTTCCTTTGAATGGCACTGTATATTTCTGTGAGCTTTGGTACTTCTAAGGAGATAGTAGAATGAGATGTTTTATCTCTCTTCTCTTTTTTCTTTTTCTTTAAGTGCTCAGTCTTTAACTCTCTTTAGTGCGTCGAGATATTTTTATACCCAATATACTCACAACATCTCAATCACTGTTAATGTAGGTGTTGTACTTGTATTCACAAGGTATTCTTTGTACTTATAACATCTCAATCACCACTCTGTAGGTATTATATATATTCATCATTTATTTTTAGATGTTAATTGTATGTAGATTTGTATGCTCATCTCCATGCTAACAACGACTGTTGCATGTTATTCACTATAGGCACATATCTCCAATAGATGTTTGTAGGTGTTATATGTACTTGTGTCCACATGGGATTTGTCATACTTATTATATGCCCATTTTTGTTATGCATAAGTATCATATTAATTATCACTGCTTATAGGGAATGCTCATGTTCACTATAATCTCCTAGGCGTACTTGTAGGAGAGTTAGTTTACTTGCATCATATCTACCTTCACCATTCACAGGTCATTGTTGATTATACTTATTTGTAGCGATGGGTCTTTCACTAATTGTCAATGTCTCCATTTCAATCTATAGGTGTTGTTTCTTATGTTGGGGATTTCATTATTGCATGTGGGAGACACTTATGCGTTATGAAACTTGCTATTATTATTTGCAAGTACAGTACAACTTACCTTGTAGAAACTATTTTAGAAGTCAATTGCATTCATGAGCATCATTCATTATGCATCTTATCTTATTTACTCACAGATTCTGATGATTGATATTTATTTGTAATTGTTATA